TGAATTCCCAAGGCGAAAACCCTAAGAAGTGAATCCAGCAGGAACGTTTTTCCGAAGACGAAAACCCTAACGAGTGAATCCAGCAGGAAACTTTAACCCAAGACGAAAACCCTAAGGAGCGCATACCCAAGACGAAAATCTTAAGGAGTGAATTCTCAAGGCGAAAACCCTGAAAAGTGAATCCGGCAGGAAACTTTGCCCGAGGACGAAAACCCTAAGGAGTGAATTCAGCAGGAACCCTTGACCGAAGACGAAACCCCTACGGAGTGAATTCAGCAGGAACCTGTTCCCGAACACGAAAACCCTAAGCAGTAAATCCAGCAGGAACCTTGGATCGAAGAGGAAAAGCTTTCCTGCTAAATCCGGCAGCAAACTCAAAACCCTAAGGAGTGAATAGGCAAAGGCCATGCGGAGTGAATCCAGCAGGAACCTTCAACCCAAGACGAAAGCCCTAAGGAGTGAATACCCAAGACCAAAACACTAAGGAGTGGATTCCGAAGGCGAAAACCCAGTGAAAAAGGTGAAAAGTTACATCTGGGAGAAAAATGTTACAACTAAGAGCCACAGCTGCTGCTCCTGCTGCTGCTGCTGCTATACCAAAGCAGTGCTGATACTGGTACCTTTGCTGCTGTCCTCCTTCTTGTTGTTGTTGTTGTTGCTGCTGCTGCTGCTGCTGTTGCTGTTGTTCGCTGCTGCCGCCAAAGTTGTCGGTGTTACTTTTACACTTTTGTATTTATAGCTTTGCCCCTCGTGATGTCTTGCTACCTTTGTGGTTACGGGCATCGTTGATTTGCGTTCTGGGTTGAGTTAGTATGAGCATTTGCAGATTTCGAACATCGGGTTCGGATCAGAGCCGATTTGGGGTTTGTCCAGAGGCCAGCAATCTTTCTACAGCGGCGTCTACCATGCCCGGCTTTTCAAGAAGCCGACCTAGGCCGGCGTTTGGGGTATGTTTTCTGGAATAATAGCTTCAGCCTCTAGTTTAGAGCTCTTGCGCAGCGTTCAGGATCCTGCTTTCCACGTCCGAGCACTGTTCACGCACAAAAGGGCACCAGCTGTAAACAGCCAAAATAGGCCAACCTGAAAGCATCCCTCAGACCTTGGCGCTGCAACAAAATCTCGCAAGAGGCACCACCACCCCGGGAAGACTCGCTGAATGCGCAGCTGAATCGGAAGCTGACCGGCAGTCGGTCAGCACAGGAGGTGCGATCCTTCAGTTTTTCGTAGTGCCGGGGCCATAGGTCAGATGTAGCAGCAATAGGAGCACTAGTGCTGGCAATTAGTAAGTAGTCGTCGTCGTAGTAGCAGGAGTAGCAGCAGAAGAGGTGGCAGCAGCAAGAGCAGCAGCAGTAGCAGTGGCAGTAGCAGCAGCAGGAGCAGCAGCAGCAGCAGCAGCAGCAGGCAGCAGTAGCAGTAGCAAGAGCAGGAGGAGGAGGAGCAGCAGCAGCAGCAGCAGCATGAGCAGTAGCAGTAGCAAGAGCAGGAGGAGGAGCAGCAGTCGCAGTCGCAGTCGCAGCAGCAGCAGCAGCAGCAGCAGCCGCCGCAGCAGCAGTCGTAGCAGTCGCGTAGCAACGAGCAGTTTTACAGCTGCAGTTTGAGGGCAGACATTTAAGAAGCAGGGCCTGACTCACATGTTCCGAGACGGTGCACTCATCGCGGTAACCGACCAGCAACAGGGTCATGTTATCGTGGGCTGGTGCCTGAGGTGCTGAGCATCTATGAGGCTCACGCGATGGAGTTCGATGCCGTGAACTTTGTAACAGCGTTCCACCGGGTGGCGAAAATGCCAGATGGACGGAGGGCAATGAGCAGTTCGGCATTTGCAGACATCGCGCAAGTTTTGCTGGAGAGATGCCCGTAGCTCACACCACAGCATGTCTCGAACACAGCTTGGACAGCAGCAGCTTTAAGTTTCCGGCAGCCACCGACCATTGAGGCTCTCGCATCACAGGTACAGGCCGTTCTCAGCGAGTGTGACCCACAGAATCTCTAGAACACGGTGTGGGCCTTTGCGAAGACACTGCATCAAGGTTCGTCACTCTACGGCGCGATTGCAGCTGCGTCTTGGCCACGGCTAAGCGAGCTTACCCTGCAAGATCTTACAGGCACATCTTGGGCACATGCAGCTATCACCAGCTCGAACGAGCAATTCTGTGCTGCGACCTCTGCAGAATGCGTAGCTCGGCAAGCTCAGCTTCAACCGCGCGATACCGCCAGCACTTTCTGGTCGCTAGCAAAGCAGGCTGGCTCTGGCCGGCCGTCGCTGGATGTTCTGTCAAGTCATGCAGTTGAACGCATTGATGAGTTTAAGCCTTAAGACTTGTCCACCACCATGTGGGCAATGGCCAAGCTGGCGTTTGTGAGCTCGGGCCTGCTGAATGAGTTATGTAGACGTTGCATCGTCAAGCTCGATGAGTCTGTCACGCAGGATATTTCAAACACAGCGCAGTCAAGCACCCGCTCAATGATTCGAGATCAGATGCTGTGGAAGGCATCATCCGAAGCTGGTCAGAAGATGGTGGAGCATTTTGCGCCACAGAAGATTTCCAACACTGCATGGGCCCTCGCAACCATCGAAGTTTCGGACCCACGCCTGTTCGACAAGCTTGCCTTCCAGGCAGTTCAGAAGCTCAGTGAGTCTAGTGCTCAGGACAGGGCAAACACAGTCTGGGCTTTTGCAAAGCAGGAGGCCCTGAAGATGCATCTTATGGATGCCGCTGGAGCTGCATGCATGGCCAACATCACCCAATGCACCCAGCAACACCTGTCCAACGTAGCCCGGTCCTTTGGCAAGCTTCTTGTCAACAATGGTGCCTTGACAGATCTCCTATGCACCAGCATCCAGGAGAGGATTACAGAGGCACAGGCCCAGACACTCTCCAGCATGGCCTGGTCCATGGCAAGGCTGGTGGCAAAGGGCCGGAAGTCTCTGGCATCGGCTTCGGAAGCATCCCTCGCCCGTATGCCATCTTTCGGTCCACAGGAAACTGCTAACAGCTCCTGGGCGTTTGCAATGTCGGTGGCAACGGATCTTCCTTTGTGTAACGGTCTGGCTGATGCGGCCATCTCAGCCTTGCCTTCTTTTTTGGTACTGCATCTCTCCAACACGCTGTGGGCTTTTGCAGCTTTGTCCATGCAGCACCCGCAGCTGGTGGAAGCGGTTGGCAACGCTGGAGTGTCAAAAATCTCCGCCTTTGGCACCCAAAGTCTTTCTGCTACGGCGTGGTCTTGTACGAAGTTGCAGCTCTTCAGCGAGACCTTGCTCCAGGTAGTCGCCTCAGAAGCTGTGACCAAGATCGAGGCCTTCGCTGCGCAGAATCTGGCGAACACCTCTCGGGGCTTCGCAAAGCTTCTCGCCAAAGCCGACCCGCTTATGATGGCGATTGCCTCCCGTGTGGCCGTCTTGCAGGACGCCCAATGTTCGAAGCTTCAACCCGCACAACACACACACACACATAGTTTGGAGAACTGTCACTTCCACATCATTCGCATCATTGACAGTGCAAGACCGGTAATCGACTGTAGGACTTTCACATGTTTTGGCTCGGACCACAGCTGACTGATGAACCCTCCCTGGTTCCACAAGCCTCGAACCAAAGCCCCTGCAGACACCTGGGCCTAAGCCCCAGCCCAAGCATGTTTGTATCTCCTTAAACTGCCTTACACGTCAGATGTGGCCGTAACATCGTGGAGTGCAGTGCTGGTTGCGCAGGAGGCCATTCCAAAGGAGCTCTCCAGCGCAGCTCGGGCTTCTGCCAAGCTGGCATACGAGGCGCAACCCTCCGGTGGGTGTGCGTGTGCGTGTGCGTGTGTGTGTGTGTATGTCTATCTATATATATATATGTGTGTGTGTGTGTCTGTCTGTCCGTCTGTCTCTGTTTGCGTCAGAGTCTGTCCTGTCCTGTACGGGTGGGTAGGGGGCTGGGGGGATTCGATTTTGAGGTGTAGCTTTGCATGTGAAGATTCGGGTCACGGAGTCGTACTCGCCGAGACCCAATGGGAAACTGCCAAGGATGAGGAGTTCTTTGACTCGATCGCATCCGCGGCCATGGCGAGGATCAACCAGTGTGATGCGCAGTCCCTCTCCAACTTGGCTTCTCGCATGCATGTCAGAATTTGGTTCCTCGTAGTGTTTTTTGATCAGTCTGCGACCCCACCGTGCCGTCCTCATCGGCCCAAGTGAACCCTAATCCATCCAAGGCCCGGGCTTTCGCCACAGCGGTGCTCCAACCTGGGCCAGTGCTCCCTGCGACCGCAAAGGCAGCCCTGGCAAAGCTGCACACTTTCGACGCCCAAGAGCTGGCAAACACGGTCTGGTCATTGGCGAAGTTGCTGCTTGGTTGGTTCGGTGAGTTGCTTCCATCAGTTTGTATAATTGGGACTCCTCCATTGAACAGTCGAGCGTTACCGAGGTTGCTTGTGGATCGGCCATTGTGTGATGCCATCGCCGCAGCTGCAATGGCCAGCCTTGCAAACTTCGTTTCACAGCATCTCGGCAAAATATGGTGGCGGGATGTGGCGGGAGTAATAGAATGGGGCGCTCCGAGAGTCTTCGAGAGTGCTTAGCAGTGTTTGCACCGGGCCTTTGGCGACTCGGCTTGTCTTCTTGTTCTGTTGGGAAGGCAGCCAGCAACATAATTTCGTGCGAATTTCATCTGCAGCTACGGTGCTGCCCTAGTCCAAGCCTGCTTCAGGAATCTCACCAATGCTGCTTGGGCATCTGCCTCTTTGGGCCTCCGCAGCAAGGCGTTGATGGAGGCGTCGGCCACACAGTGCTCATATTCCTATTAGAGCCTGCATCCCTATTATGCAGCATTTGTTACAGCCCAGAAGATGTTGTATGCCGTTTTTAGTTTACATAGTCAACCTATGGCTGCCTGCCATGAAGCTTAAGCCAAATCCTGAACCCGTGCCTCCGGGAAAGACTTTCGGTCTTGATAACCTTGGCCGCCCCTTGCCGCCCCACTCCGGTCGCAACATGCCGATATCCCGGAGTGCATCAACAAGCCCCCGAGTGAATCGTTGAAGACCAGGCCAGAAAGCTCAAAAGCCTTGGACTCTTTTCGCCCTGCAGACAAGGCCATCGCAGAGGCAGCCCTTCGGACCTGCAGCCAACTGATCCCACAGGAGGCCTGCCGTTGAATGCCAGCCTGTGTAGCGTCTGGGGAGGCGTCAGAAGTGCTTGAGAGTCAGAGTTGTGCTTCTTGATCGCGGCGGGGGCAAGCACTTGGCTGCGATTATGGGTTTACATATACCCGCTTCTTGCGAGGTTTGTCTTGTGGTGGGAGTGTTGCACGCTGAGTTCTGCAAGTTTAGGAGGCAAGACCTCGCACGAGGTCCGTGAGAGCTCACAGCCCCCCAAGCACCAGTGTGCTACTGCCCTGCCCGGAGGCTGCGAACTTGGCATGATCCTGCGCCAAAATTGGCTTTGCCGGTGAGCACTTCCTGTCGGCGATTGGGAACCAAGCTACGGCCATTGTTTCCGAGCTTGTGTTCTTCGGCTGTAAAGGTGTGTCGGGTTCTTTTTGCTGGGTTTCGCAGCCGGAGTGCCTTGCTGATTCGTACAGGCGGAGCACCAGTCGTCAGAATATTTCGCTAAAACTCCCGTTGATTGTTACCTGTCTCAAGTCTGCGCCCAGGACGCAAGACCTGTCCAACTCTGTGCGGGCCTGCGCCACGTTGCTCCACGATAGCGCTCGAACGGTTGAAGCGATTTCGACCCACTCGGTGCAGAAGCTGCACCTCTTCCTGAACCAAGAGCTTTCCAACACTGCCTGGGCGGCGTCAAAGCTACAAAAGCCCGGCAGAATTCTGAGGCCAGACGTCTGGACTGAAACCAATGTTTAATGCCAGGTTAATCTAACCCAAGGCCCCCAACCCCTGAACCCTACAAAACTCTTCACCTTTCTACCAGCAGTACCAACCCGAAGCCTTTGCTTTAAACCCCCTATACATGAGCTCACATCTCTAGGCCTCTTTGGGCCTCCTCTGTGCACAGGGCCGCCATGGCCGCAGAGGTCCGGGGCCGCTTGGCGTCTTTGGACGCTCAGGCCAGGGGCTTCCTCCGAAGGTCACGAGCACGGACAGGGGCAATAGGAAAAACTGTGAGGCTATGGAGCGATGTATGTACTTGTGCATGCAGGGATGGATGGATGGATGTGCATGGATGGTCGCATAGATAAGTGAATGGAAGAATGCATGGCTGAATTCACGGATGGATGGACGGACGGACGGACGCATGGACGGATGGATGCCTGCATGCATGCATATATCCGTGTGTGTAGCTACACCTTCTGGCATTTTGGTTATATTTCATTATGATACACTGATCTGTATGCTCACAGATGGTTGGAGATTGTGGAGAGGAGATAGAGAGAGCGAGAGTCCTGTTCATTGCTCGGGCCTGCAGCTCTCTAGCGGCTATAGGGCTTGTTAAGATTGCGCCTGGCTCCCTAGGGCTTGCACGGTTTTGGCTTGTGGCATGTCGGTCGAGGCCACGCTTGCGTGGTCATGTTTCATCTTGAATGACAGGTGCCCTAACTCTGGAGCAGGACCTCGAACTTCCAAAGGCTCAGCTAGAAGAGAAGGCAAACACAGAACAGCGTGTTGAAGCAGCGAACATTTGTGTTCTGGATTCGGAAAAGCCTGTAGGCACTCTCCAACCTCTCTGACTCTGTGCCCGACCTGTCGGACCAGCGACCGGGCAAGTCTTCAGCGACATTTGGGATGGTCTTGGTTGGGGTTTCAGCCCTCGGACTTGCGTAAGTCTTACACCAGAGGACGTGCTGTGGTGTCATTGTAGGGCTTCACGCTGAGACGCTGGGCTCCGGGAAGTGCGTTTGAGCAAGTCCGAGGATCTGGGGCTGACCGATGAACAAGCCAACAAGCTAAACCAAAACCCCGGCGTTCTGAGGTTATTGGCAAGGCTCGAGCCCTTCCTCGATGCCTTCGTGCCTGGCAACAGTATTGAGTCGTGGGGGGAGCACCAAAAACAGTTCAGGGGCCAGTTCGGGGATTCTTTCTGTACTATCTACGTAGGCCACGAAGAAGAAGTCAATTCGGCTTGGGACCCTTGGCCAACCAGTATCTCAGCGGAAAGCCTGCAGGCCTCCTTCGAACTCTGCGACGGCAACATTCCTCCGCCCAAAACCGCAGGAGGGTTCCAACCCCCCAGTAGTTTTTTCTAACGGAACCTCTGAAGCCTTCAACTTCAAGCGCCTCGCTGCCCCCAAAAAAAGGCGAAGCCTGTAGGTCTTCATGCGCAAACCCTGGGAAGCTTTAGGGTCCAGGGTGTTTAGGGCGAAGAGGGCTCTTTCGGAGTCATGATGCCTGGGAGTTGGGAGAGTTGGGCTGGTGGTTGTGGGAGCTTTGTGGTTGTTCGACTTTTCGACGCCCTGGGAGTTGGTGGACACCCCCAAATCCAGACCTAATTCACGCTCATGGCCGAGCCCTCATCTACCCATAGGCCCCTGAGTAGTTCCTTTTTGGGATTACCTTATAGGATTCTAAATATAAACCACAAAGAGGAACTACTTAGGGGCCTATGGGTACACTACCATCACTACGCTTGTTGCAGTCGGAAGCTGAGGTCGCCGGGATGCCCAAGACACTGCCCGAGTGGAGCGGCGCTGGCTTCCACCAGGCGCCGGTGCTCGGGCCCCTTTCGGGGTGATGGCACAGGGTTTAGGGTTTAGGGTTTAGGGGCCTCGGATCAAGCTTTGCAATCTCGTTTTCGACATCGCTGCTGCGGGGCTGGCGCTGCCACGGGCTTGGCCCTTCGGGAGCTCGTGAATCGCAGCTGAGGTGTTGTTGGCCGAGCTTGTGAGTGCTTGAGCAAGATCCAATCCAAACTCAGCTTGAAGGTTCTCCACCAGACTGGCGTGGATAATTTCGGGATCGCCGGCTCGTCACGACCTCGGCATGTTTTCCAGTTAGAGTTTTCGATCATGCGAGGTGCAGTTTCAGGTGCTTGCATCCTGCTTTGCTGTGGGCTTTCTAGCAAAAAGTTTCGGGTTTCCAGCAGAGCGGATCGAACAAGATTGCAGGATTTTCCCGCTTCTCAGCATTGACAGGAATCGGCTGCTGATGAAAATGGGCATTCCAACGCCGAGCGCCGATTTCATTGACAGGGTGGAGTCCTCGATGTCAGTAACAAGCATTCCGGCTTGGCTTTCATTCTCAATCTTGGATTGTTTGGACGACTGACGAGGTCGGTCGCGCAGGTGTGCCACAGTTGCCACTATATATCTATATCTATCTGTATCTTTTTATCTATGTGTATATATATATATACATATGTATATATTGTTATGAATATGAACATAAATACAAAGACAGATACAAGTATGACTATGAATATATAAACTAGTCCAAGCAAACAAACATATACATATATATATATTATGTATATTAGGGTTCACCCTCCTGAGACCTACGTGGCCCATGCCCGAGTCCTGACGATGTCAGACATTGAGGACCATAGATTGGTTCTGCACAGGTTCTCAGTGCAATGGTTCCAAGATGAGAACTGCAATGGAAAGGTCACCCAGTTGGAACGTCACAGAATTAAAAATGAAGGGTTGAAGTAAAAATCGCCAGGGCAGTACCCAGCCTATCAACTAATGTTTACACTCCTCTGTTTTCAGACCCAGCACCTTCAAAATGTCACAGCAACCTGTGAGAACGGTAAGCGGACAAAGTAGCAACAATACATGCTGCCACTGTTTGATTTTCAGGCCCGCCGCCGCGTGGAACAGGCGATTGAAGAAGGCGATGCACGGCAGGACCGATGCAGCTGTAATCTCAAGTAGTTTTGGCAATCTGCAGTCTCTGTCTGCAGAGCCTGCAAACAAATTCCTACAACTTTCTGGCCCACCCTGGGTTCCTTTTCTGGGACTCTCACATGACAAGATCTTGAAGGGCCGATGTGTTTGCGGTGAGTTCGATGGCGCAGAAGCAGGAAGTTCTGAATCGCGCGGGCGCTCTCGAATTGGAGTCCTCGAACTCGAGGGATTCGCATGACCCCTCGCCGCGTACATTTGCTTCTGGGCTCTCGGTTGCGTTCGCGAAAACCCCACAGAAGCTTGGGCCGAGAGGACAAGCAGCATGAGTATCACCTACCTTTCACCCAACAAAGCCAGAATCAGCTGCCCAAGTTTTCAAGTCCGAAATATAGAGGACAAGCATTGTGAGCACTTGTGCCGCATGGACGCATCAAGCATGTCAGATGCTTCGTATCATAGAAGCCCCCAGAGGACGAGCAGCATGAGTATCAACTGCACAAGCTCTCACCCAAGATAACCCCCGTGGCAAGCGACGTGAGCATCCGCTGTCGCGCGTAGACAAGCATCATGTGCATTACATATCAGATGTCTTTCAGCCAGACCCAGCATCATCAGCATCAGCTGCCCCTCACCCAACGAAGCCCAGAAGACGAGCATTTTGAGCATCAGCGGCCTAGCTTTCAAACACAAATCATCAGCCGCCGAAGCTCTCAAACCAAAAAACGCAACGGACGAGCATTACGAGCAGCGGCTGCCCAAGCTCTTGTCGCGTGGACAAGCAAAACGAAGAACAACAAAGTCCAAAGGACCAGCATCATAAGCATCAGCCGCCCAAGTTCTCAATCCCAAAAGTGCAACTGACGAGCATTATGAGCATCAGCCGCCCAAGCTCTCCTCCGCGTGGACATCACGAGTATCTTCATCCAACATAGCCAGAGGACGAGCATCACGAGCATCAGCCGCCCAAGTTCTCAAGCCCACAAGAGTAACTGACGGGCATTATGAGCATCAGCTGCCCAAGCTTTCGTGCCTCGTGGACAAGCATCATGAGTATCAGCTGCTTTTCGTCCAAGAAGAGTACGAGCATCATGAGCATCAGCTGCCCAAGCTCTCGAATCGAAAATCGTGCCGGAGGAGCATTGTCAGCATCAGCTGCACAAGCTTTTAAGTCCGAAATACAACGGACAAGCATTGTGAGCACTTGTGCTGCATGGACGCATCAAGCATTTCGGATGCTTGGCATCATATAGGCCCCAGAGGACGAGCATCATGAGTATCAACTGCACAAGCTCTCACCCAAGACCCAACGAAGCCCAGAGGACGAGCATCATGAGCATCAGCCGCCCAAGCTCTCCTCCGCGTGGACATCACGAGTATCTTCATCCAACATAGCCAGAGGACGAGCATCACGAGCATCAGCCGCCCAAGTTCTCAAACCCACAAGAGTAACTGACGCGCATTATGAGCATCAGCTGCCCAAGCTCTGGTGCCTCGTGGACAAGCATCGTGAGTATCAGCTGCTTTTCGTCCAAGAAGAGTACGAGCATCATGAGCATCAGCTGCCCAAGCTCTCGAATCGAAAATCGTGCCGGAGCATTGTCAGCATCAGCTGCACA